AGCAGGTGTAGGCATGGACCATAAAAGGGAAATGGATAATGAGGGATAGGCCTGTACCTTAGTTGGAGACTAGATTCTGGCAGGTAGACCTGGGCCTCCAAAGGGAAACTGATATTGAGAGCTTGGGCTCTGGAGGACAATGGGTACTGAGGGCTGACTGACCTTGTTTGTTGGTTAGGTATTATTTTTCAAAGAAGTATTAATTATCTTAATTCTTATGGTGATGATATGGAGGCATGGCTTTAACTTAACATACACTTGTAAACTGTTACATGTAATGACAGGAAATACTTGTAGCAACCCCAATTTGAATATAAAATATCAAAATTCATACCATAACTTCACCTTGATACCCAAAATAAAACACTGCTAGTTACTTACAAATAGGCCAGCATACCAATCAGATTTATTTAGTCATCAAAACACTGTTGTGTTTGGTTACTAATTTCCAACTCAGATATATACCATCAACACAACAGTGCTATAGTTGTTTGTCTAAGTATTAAAAAAATAATCTGACCATTCATATATTTACATACATCAATTTGAAATACTTTTGTGATTGACTACTTACCTACAAGTAGCCTGATCAACAAGCTTGCAATCTTTGTCACAGCAAAGGTCACCATCTGGCCCTGCATCACACTCTTCCTTGTCATCTACCCTGCCATTTCCACACAGAGCAATCCCACCAGTAGCAACTGTAAACCATCCATCATTACTTTTTCTCATAATACCACTAAAATGTATTGTAAGTTACTTTAAGAACTGGAGACTACATTTAATTAATTATTTGGGTCTCTTTTAAACATTTAAAACTGGCAATCATGAAAATTATAACTTTTTAAAAAAAATACAAGTTTAATGTATCATATGGTATAAAATTCATATGAAAGTTTTGTCTGGTCAATAATTAGGTTACATATATCTAGATTTTATTTCTCTAGCTTCCATACTTAATATCCAAAGGTGCTTTTCTGAAAACATGATTCAATGATATTACTTTTTTACAGATAACAATGACTTAAAAAAGACTTCAGTTATTCAAGTAGGATGTACACCATGAACTATTACAAAACAATGCCGGACCATACTGAATAATTCAGGGACATTGGAACTTGAAATAGAAAGATCGATTCTAAAATGAATTTTAAAAAAAAAACATGGATTAATTCAATATCTTATTTTTTCTTCTTTTTTTTTTAACCTGGATTTTACATCCCTGACAACAATCAGAGTGATGTGTTCTTTTATCAGATTCTATCAACATAAATATAAATGTATCAGGGAGTTTTTTTAAAAAAGGTCCTTTAAGCCTTCTTTTACTAGGTGTTCTTTGAGGTAGGGTGGCTCTTCTGCCCTCTTTTCCATACAATTGTATCAAAATTCAATTTTCAAACTAAATCTTAAATAATGCAATGGAAATGTTAAAGGCCTCATATACGTAAGATACACTACTATATAGCAATATCATACAATACTGTAAAATCTTATGCTTTCAGGGGGCTTAATTTTCATGGTTTTTCAAAAACTCACTATTTCATGAGCACTTCTTTACTTGGATAAAATTGATGTTGCTCGATAAATCTACTTAAACTAATTTTGGCATTTTGTGGATGTATGATTTCTTGGATTATGAGTATCCTTGAAATCAATGAAATTAATCTCCAAGGCAAATGACTGATTTTACAGTACTTTAAGTTAGTAATATATCTTCTGTACAATTAACATGTTATAAGACTTTAATCATGCTCCATATTCTTATGATTAATGATACAACATAAACTGTCATTCTCACACAGCTTCACATCTTATATCAATAATTGTTGCTGAAAATAATGTCAAAACTATCATGTTTTACAATATAAATAAACTGAAAATTAAAACTGTCACATTTAATACAATGTTTCAATGTTATTCTGTATTTTGCTGTATCCACAGACTTTTCTGAATATATGTCACTTTACACAGCTTCCTATCATCTTTCTAATCAAATTAGTAACACAATTGTTTAAAACCTCTAAGTAACACAATATTTTCATTATCTCACAGTAACACAAGTGTTTCATTACCTCCCAGTAACACAAGTGTTCCATTATCTCACAGTAACACAAGTGTTTCATTACCTCCCAGTAACACAAGTGTTTCATTACCTCCCAGTAACACAAGGGTTTCATTACCTCCCAGTAACACAAGAGTTTCATTACCTCCCAGTAACACAAGAGTTTCATTACCTCCCAGTAACACAAGTGTTTCATTACCTCCCAGTAACACAAGAGTTTCATTACCTCCCAGTAACACAAGTGTTTCATTACCTCCCAGTAACACAAGAGTTTCATTACCTCCCAGTAACACAAGACACAAGTAACACAAGGATTTCATTACCTCACAGTAACACAAGGTTTCAATACCTCTCAGTAACACAAGGGTTTCATTACCTCACAGTAACACAAGGATTTCATTACCTCACACTAACACAAGGGTTTCATTATCTCACAGTAACACAAGGTTTCAATACCTCTCATTAACACAAGGTTTCAATACCTCTCAGTAACACAAGGGTTTCATTACCTCCCAGTAACACAAGGGTTTCATTATTTCCCAGTAACACAAGGGTTTCATTACCTCACACTAATACAAGAGTTTCATTACCTCATAGTAACACAAGTGTTCCATTATCTCACAGTAACACAAGAGTTTCATTACCTCCCAGTAACACAAGAGTTTCATTACCTCCCAGTAACACAAGGGTTTCATTACCTCCCAGTAACACAAGGGTTTCATTACCTCACAGTAACACAAGTGTTTCATTACCTCTCAGTAACACAAGGTTTCAATACCTCTCAGTAACACAAGAGTTTCATTACCTCCCAGTAACACAAGGGTTTCATTACCTCTCAGTAACACAAGAGTTTCATTACCTCTCAGTAACACAAGGGTTTCATTACCTCCCAGTAACACAAGGGTTTCATTACCTCACAGTAACACAAGGGTTTCATTACCTCCCAGTAACACAAGGGTTTCATTACCTCTCAGTAACACAAGAGTTTCATTTCCTCTCAGTAACACAAGGTTTCAATACCTCTCAGTAACACAAGGGTTTCATTACCTCTCAGTAACACAAGGTTTCAATACCTCTCAGTAACACAAGGGTTTCAATACCTCCCTGGAACACAAGAGTTTCATTACTTCACAGTAACAATGGTTTCATTACCTCACAGTACCACAACGGTTTCATTACCTCCCAGCAACACAAATGTTTCATTACCTCACAGTAACACAAGAGTTTCATTACCTCACAGTACCACACAATAACACAAGGGTTTCATTACCTCACAGTAACACAAGTGTTTCATTACCTCACAGTAACACAAGGGTTTCATTACCTCCCAGTAACACAAGGGTTTCATTACCTCCCAGTAACACAAGGGTTTCATTACCTCCCAGTAACACAAGGGTTTCATTACCTCCCAGTAAAACAAGGGTTTCATTATCTCACAGTAACACAAGTGTTTCATTACCACCCAGTACCACAATGGTTTCATTACCTCCCAGTAACACAAGAGTTTCATTACCTCAGTAACACAAGTAACACAAGGTTTCATTACCCCAAGGTTTCACCCAGTACCACAATGGTTTCATTACCTCCCAGTAACACAAGTGTTTCATTATCTCACAGTAACACAAGTGTTTCATTACCTCACACTAACACAAGGGTTTCATTACCTCACAGTAACACAAGGGTTTCATTACCTCACAGTAACACAAGGGTTTCATTATCTCACAGTAACACAAGGGTTTCATTACCTCACAGTAACACAAGGGTTTCATTACCTCACAGTAACACAAGGGTTTCATTACCTCACAGTAACACAAGGGTTTCATTACCTCACAATAACACAAGGGTTTCATTACCTCACAGTAACACAAGGGTTTCATTATCTCCCAGTAACACAAATGTTTCATTACCTCACAGTAACACAAGAGTTTTGTTACCTCACAGTAACACAATATTTTCATTACCTCCCAGTAACACAAGGGTTTCATTATCTCACAGTAACACAAGGATTTCATTATCTCCCAGTAACACCAGAGTTTCATTACCTCTCAGTAACACAAGGTTTCAATACCTCTCAGTAACACAAGAGTTTCATTACCTCCCAGTAACACAAGGGTTTCCTCACCTCACAGTAACACAAGGGTTTCATTACCTCCCAGTAACACAAGGGTTTCATTACCTCACAGTAACACAAGGATTTCATTACCTCACACTAACACAAGGGTTTCATTATCTCACAGTAACACAAGGATTTCATTACCTCACAGTAACACAAGGATTTCATTACCTCACAGTAACACAAGAGTTTCATTACTCAGTACCACAATGGTTTCATTACCTCCCAGTAACACACAAGAGTTTCATTTCCTCTCAGTAACACAAGGTTTCATTACCTCCCAGTAACACAAGGGTTTCATTACCTCCCAGTAACACAAGAGTTTCATTACCACCCAGTACCACAATGGTTTCATTACCTCCCAGTAACACAAGGGTTTCATTACCTCACACTAACACAAGGGTTTCATTACCTCACAGTAACACAAGGGTTTCATTACCTCACAGTAACACAAGTGTTTCATTATCTCACAGTAACACAAGTGTTTCATTACCTCACAGTAACACCAGAGCTTCATTACCTCTCAGTAACACAAGGTTTCAATACCTCTCAGTAACACAAGAGTTTCATTACCTCTCAGTAACACAAGGGTTTCATTACCTCCCAGTAACACAAGGGTTTCACAGTAACACCTTCATTACAGTAACACACAAGTAACACAAGTGTTTCATTACCACCCAGTACCACAATGGTTTCATTACCTCCCAGTAACACAAGGGTTTCATTACCTCCCAGTAACACAAGTGTTTCATTACCTCACACTTACACAAGAGTTTCATTTCCTCACAGTACACAAGTGTTTCATTACCTCCCAGTAACACAAGGGTTTCATTACCTCACAGTAACACAAGAGTTTCATTACCTCACAGTACCACAACGGTTTCATTACCTCCCAGCAACACAAATGTTTCATTACCTCACAGTAACACAAGGGTTTCATTACCTCACAGTAACACAAGGGTTTCATTACCTCCCAGGAGTTTCATTACCTCCCAGTAACACAAGAGTTTCATTACCTCACAGTAACACAAGGGTTTCATTACCTCCCAGTAACACAAGGGTTTCATTACCTCCCAGTAACACAAGAGTTTCATTACCTCCCAGTAACACAAGAGTTTCATTACCTCCCACTAACACAAGAGTTTCATTACCTCCCAGTAACACAAGAGTTTCATTACCTCCCAGTAACACAAGTGTTTCATTACCTCAAGGGTTTCATTACCTCTCAGTAACACAAGGGTTTCATTACCTCCCAGTAACACAAGGGTTTCATTACCTCCCAGTAACACAAGTGTTTCATTATCTCACAGTAACACAAGTGTTTCATTATCTCACAGTAACACAAGGGTTTCATTACCTCCCAGTAACACAAGTGTTTCATTACCTCACAGTAACACAAGTGTTTCATTATCTCACAGTAACACAAGTGTTTCATTACCTCCCAGTAACACAAGGGTTTCATTACCTCCCAGTAACACAAGGGTTTCATTACCTCACAGTAACACAAGGGTTTCATTACCTCCCAG